AGACTGATAGCCACGCATCTCATGACTCAGGTAGCCAAGGCAGGCACTCCGAGTGAAGGCAGCGTCTTGGAGCTTTATTCCAAAACCAGATGCATACAGACGTCTACGTACACCTGTGCTTACACACGTGTGCACAGATATGCTTTTGAGGCAGATTGGACACTTTGGTTTTACACAGTTGTGTTTTAAGCCTGTTTTCGTTAGGATCCATGCGGTTTTCCTTTTTGACTTCTGCATAAAGCTTAGAGTAAAATGTAGCAAGGACTGGTACAAATCCCTGCAGCACCCATGGGAATTGAGTTAGAGGGAATTTTATCAGCATGTTTGCCTGCACAGGCGTTCTGCTGAGGAGTGATGTGAGTCTTCTCCACCACAGTGGATCCTTTTTACATTAAATGAAATCTAAACTTCCCAGAATCTTTCCATAGTGGAGGTGTCCGCATGCTGCCACGTGAGACACAGAGGAGGGCACATGTAACTTCCATGAGCTCTGGAACCCCTCTTACTGACTTCAGGCAGGACCTGGCTCCAGTTAGGAAACAGTAAACCTGCAATGATGGTGTTTCATCTGCTTTTTACTGCTCTTGGTGTGTCAGGCTCTTTAGTAGCACAGTGGAAGTTACTGCAGTGAAGGTCCTGGAGGCTGAGGACCTACAGGCTAATTCTATACTTGAGGGTGAAAGATGGGCTTAGGAATAGGAGAAAGTATCCTAGTCCCTTCCACTTGGTGTCCATGTTGCTGGATCTTAGCCTGGCAGTCATTCAGACTTGAGGTGAGACTCATCTCACCCAGCATTAGTTGGATGCAGTGCCTAATTTTGCTGTTTTTTTCCCAGATGTTTATTTTTCGGTGGAATGGTCCATATCATGCACATGCATGTTTTTCTCAAGTAGGTATTTAGGGACTTGAGGGTGAGTATGTCAGATGTGAGTGTCAACAATTTGAACACGTTTATGTGGCTGAGTAAATTCTACTGAAAGGCTGCTTCCATACTAATAAATTAAACGTGCCTAGTACTGTTCTTGGCCTTGAGGCCAGCTGGGATGGAGAGCCTTACTTCCATCCAACAGCTATCTTACCCTCCAAACCACAGTGGCTCTGTGCAGACTTCTAATTAGGAGTGACCCCCGGTCCCTGCTAACTCTTGAACTACACACAAGAGTTATTTAGGAGAGTGCTACTGGCACAGACCAAAGTCATTCCAGATACTCTGTTAATAATTTATGCTATAGATTATCAAGTTCCTGTGCCCAGAAATGTTCCCCACCACCAGTGGAGCCATAGCTAAGATAGGCACCCTATGTTTAGCGAGAATGGAGCCAGTGAACTGGGCTGAAGCATTTCAAGTCCCACCTTCTCCTGCAGACCACAGAAACGAAAGACTGGATCCATGCTCACGTGCCATATGTCTTCTACCTCTTCCCTAAAGCAAGCTTCAGACCTTAGGCTAAACTCGGTGATGGAATAAAGATTTACAGCATGGAAGATTGACCGTGTTTGGTGTTGACCAGTCACTGACATGACAGATAGACAAAGAATTCCTTGTAGTCCCAGAGGAGGGAATCATCTTAGGGATGCGCCCTGAATGATGCCTGGCTGATACCCATGGTAGTACATCCTAGTGTCACTGAGGGAGATAGAGGTGACCAGACCAGAACTTTGTCATGATATGGCCCAGGGCTTGATATGTGTGGTGGGATATGGGTCAAAACTGTAACACTTCGCTCCCCTCCGCCATTCTAAAGCAATGTGCATTGAGAAACACGATGGATCATCAGCACAGAAAATACATCAAAGATGGTTTTGAAACATTTCTATGTTGGAAATTTCCAGTTGGGTAGGCAAGTTGCCTGTTACAAAAGGCATACAGCTTAAGCAACTGCTATCCTGAAAGGTTGTTAAAATTAAATTGTGAATTGACATCTCTGTTGTTACATTCCTGGAGCAGAGTGGCTGCCTAGGTATTTCATAATGGAGTATCTAAGCCTAGCAACACAGGGCTTGTTCTGCTGAATAGTATGCAGTATTATGTAATTTAATAACATTAAACTAGGATGTTCTGATAATATTATTTGAAAGCTGTTTAGTTTATTTAATACCATTTGTATTTTGCATGTGAGTTGAATTTAGGGAAAAAAAGATTTTAGAAGAAACTGGGGAGAGTGTGGTAGGAAATTGTGCAATGTACTTATCTGAGACTACATCACATGGTCTGCAAAGCACGGCTTTTGCTTTTATACACATAGTCTTGGCGACTCTCCCACTAGCAACAATAGCGCTCAGACTCATACTGATGTCACTGTTGAGTTATTTAATTTAACTGAACGAGATTAATGTGTTTATTTAAAACCTTGGTCAAAATGGAAAAGAAAATCTCGGGACAATACTTTTACGAGAACATATATGTTTTCGTATCTGATGATTGTAACATTGCATTAACTTATCAGGAGCAGTTGTTTACACACGCTAATGCCCGGGAGACCCCCCTCAGATAAGAAGTGTGAGCCATTTTTCCCTCTCAGCCTGGAGCAGAGACTTTTACACCACTACTGGTCCTGTGGGCTTTCATCCCAGGCTCTCCTCGCTTCCTGTTGCTGCTTCCAGGGCTGATCCACAGACATGCCGGCATTGTTTCATTTTCTCACGTGAAGGTGGGCTTTGTTACCACCAAGCAATGACAGCCATGCGGTGGTGGATCCTCTACGGATTCTCACCGGGGCAGCGAGGGACAGACACCTCTGCACGGGATGCCTGGATGGGGCTGATGCTGGGCTCTGTAGGCTGAGCCTGCTCCCACAAAGGCTGGAGACTGCCTGCCTAAATTTTATCCACATTATGTTTTACAAGCAACTTGAGGGTTTTTTCCTGTGATAAATCATTCTGAATTTATTTCATTTTTACATGTACCCTCTAAGTGTTTGGAATAGACTTCGGTTTTGACTAAGAGGCGTTAGTAACTATCCAGTTAAATGCTCCAGGTCGTTGGATTTTTACTAATACAGAGCAGGGAAAAAATTTGGAATCTGAAGTTTCTCTTTGCATGGTGGGACAAGTTTGGGCAGTTCCGTGGAATTGATCATTGATTGCTGAATGGCGCAAGTGGGGGATTTCTACCGTGCTCTCTCAAGAGCCCCTCTTGACATGCATGTAGATTGATAATGTAGAAATTGCACGTAGATTGATAATGTAGAAATCGCATAAGCCAGAGCTCAGTGCTGTGGTGGGTGCCTGAAGCGAGGTGTGCCTGCTCTTCTTTCCAGTTTTGTAGTCGCTCTGTTCATATTTTCGTGCAGCCTCCTGTTCACTGGTGCTTGGAATATGAATGTCTTGGAGGAACAGCAGCTGCTGCTGGGGCTTGTGACATGCCAATGAGTCGCTTTTGTGATCTCTCTTCTGTGGGGCCAAGTACTTCCATCTCCCTAGCTCTGTGGAAGACTTTTGGGAATTTGAGCCCCTGCCCTCATCGTGGTTGCTCTCGTGGAAGAAAGGAAAAACCTCCTTAGGTTTACATGCATCTGCATTTCTCAGGGTGCTGAGTGTCTTAAAGGATAATGCAGTGGGGCAGAGGAATGGGCATGAGAACAAAACAGAAGGGCTAGGAGGAAAACAGCTCTAGGTGGTCGCTGGTCCTCAGCAAACATTGCACGTTGTCTAAGAGGTCCTGATGCCCTGGGCCATGTGTGCTTACCCTGCAGCATGCTCCAGAGCTGTGTGGTGCTGAGGGTATGAGGCTATGCTGAGGAACCAGTCTTTGGGATTGGCCTCCCCTCTCCATATGTTGTACCTGTGCCTGTACCTGGTGTCCTCAGGTGCCCTTTGAGCTCTTGCAAGAGCTGTGCATTTCAGAAGACTACAGAATAATATGGTTTGTGAAGCCCAATACCGAGCAATATCGCTCTGTCTCCTCAGTGGTTGCATATAGGCAGTGCTGAGGTCTATGGCCAGACCTTTACTGGTGGGGAGGCAAGGAGGACCCATGTCCTCCCACAAGGCTGGAATAGGGCAGTCATGGAGCTGCTTCTCTGGAGACATCCATTTAGAAGCTGCCCCCACCTCCTGCTTTAAGTGCCCTCCGTATAGTTCAGACTTTTGGACTTGGTCTGCTCAGGGGGTCCGTGAAGTATATTTAAAGCAGTAAATAGCTTGAATTACACGGACGTTTTTCCTCAGAGTTCCAGTCAGTGGAAATATGTCATTTTCAGCTAAAATTAGACTGGCTCCAGCTACATTTAAAAAAAAAAAAAAAGAAAAGAAAAGAAAAACCCTCCACAACTAAACTCTTTCTGTTGGACTTTGTCAGATGTAGCAACTCCTAGCAGAAATAACTCAGCATCCATCCAGCAAAAACCGTGTCCAGAAGTCTGTGATTTTCATCCAAAAAAATGAATTGCTGGAGAGAGAGAAACAGACTGGCTAGGCAAGCAAGGTTTTTCTCTTGTATGTGAAAAAATGTAAATAAACTTGGAGAACAGTGATAGATCTTTCAAAGGCACTAAATGAAATCTGAGAGTGCTTGAATTTTAAATTAATTTTGCAGTTAATATCATACAACTCTTGACAGTGAGATTGGAGAGGCAGAGAGGGAGATGAATCAGAAAAATATTCTGCTCATTACTTCCATAAAATTTCATAGTACAGACTTAATTTTGTAGAGTATGCTTGAGCTGAACCTACAGCTCCCAGCATTAAAAAAAAGGTACATTTTCTTTTGTAGTAAGTATAACCCCAACCCTGCAACAATTTGCCTAGTGCATTAAACTCTAAACACAAATTGAAGTGACTGGACACTTAATGCTTTCTGAGATCCAACTCTAAGATGAACGTGGAGGGTAGGGGGGAGGAGAAGCTTGGACCCAAAATAAATAGCAAAAACCAAGTGGAAAACTATTAAAAATTAAATACACATTTTGAATAATTTCTCTTTCAAAAGATTTTATTGAAGGAACAATGAAAGGAGTGTGTGAAACCTAACTATGTATTGTGTTGTTATTCTAGGCTTCATCAGCAGTTTCTTGATGTTTGGAAAGTTCTAAGACCCACCCCGTTGGACTGCTTGTAACCAGTGCCTAAGACTACAAAAACATCTGTGTGGAAGAACCTTTCCTTGAAGGAAGCGTCCATCTTGATATTGTGGAATCTCCGTGCAAGCCTTGCAAGGCAAGAGAGCAATTTGTGCTTCCGTTGACGCTCGTGTGTAATCTCTGCTTCTTATGCACTCCAGCACCCCTATCAGTTCCTTGTTCTCCTTCACCAGCCCTGCAGTGAAAAGGCTGCTGGGCTGGAAACAAGGAGATGAAGAGGAAAAGTGGGCAGAAAAAGCTGTTGACTCCTTGGTGAAGAAGTTAAAGAAGAAAAAAGGTGCCATGGAAGAACTGGAAAGGGCTCTGAGCTGCCCAGGTCAGCCCAGTAAATGTGTCACGATCCCACGTTCCTTGGATGGGCGGCTGCAGGTGTCTCACCGCAAGGGGCTTCCCCATGTCATATACTGCAGAGTGTGGCGATGGCCTGATTTACAGTCTCACCATGAGTTGAAACCACTGGAATGTTGTGAGTTCCCATTCGGCTCAAAACAGAAAGAAGTGTGCATTAACCCCTACCATTACCGGCGGGTGGAAACCCCAGGTAATTATATCATCTGTAAATGATTCACATCTCTCTATTAGCTCTTGCAATGGCAAGTCTCGTCTTCACAGAATCACATATTGATTAGGTTGGAAGAGACCTCTGGGATCATCGAGTCCAACCTTTGCCCTAACACCACCATGTCAACTAGACCATGGCACTGAGTGCCACATCCAGTCTTTTCTTAAACACCTCCAGGGATGGTGACTCCACCACCTCCCTGGGCAGCCCATTCCAATGCCTAACGACCCTTTCTGTGAAGAAATGCCTCCTAATGTCTAACATGAACCTCCCCTGTTGCAGTTTCAGACGATGCTCTCTTGTCCTATCACTAGTTGCCTGGGAGAAGAGGCTGACCCCCACCTGGCTACCCCCTCCTTTCAGGTCGTTGTAGAGAGCGATCAGGTCTCCCCTCAGCCTCCTCTTCTCCAGACTAAACACCCCCAGCTCCCTCAGCCGCTCCCCATCAGACTTGTCCTCCAGACCCTTCACCACCTTCGTTGCCCTTCTCTGGACTCACTCCAGCACCTCAAGATCTTTCTTGTAGTGTGGGGCCCAGAACTGGACACAGCACTCGACGTGTGGCCTCACCAGTGCCGAGTACAGGGAGAATCTTAGTGCATCCTACCGAGGTGTGCTCTGACATCTGAAAAGGCAGGCCCCATTTGATGGAAGGACCCTGGGTCTTTCCCGGCCCGGTAGCATCACAGCTCCGACAGCCAGGAGTAAGGAGGGAGTGAGGAGCACCTCGCCCCGTGGGGTCTGTGTCACATCGGACCCCCGAGGGTGCCCAGATCTTGTCCAGGGTGCTGAAAGCAAGCTGCTGCTCCGTGGACGTGGGTGCTGGCTGCCCTCTGAACCCTCCCCCTGCAAACTGGTGTTCGCTTGCATGAAGTCTAGGCGCCATCCTAGACTTCCCACCCTGACTGGATTTATGTCTCATTGTCTGAAAACTAACAGTCGGCTCATTAATCCACAGGAAAACTGTCTCACTAGCTCTCTCTTTAAAGATTAGAGTTGCAGTAAGATGGCTTATTTTGCTGTGGATATGAAACCAGGTCAATTGATTCTTCCTAAAATGCCTGGTGGCCTGCCTTCAGTGGGATTTACTTACCTAAATGGATAGTTTATGTGAAATAAATCCCCCAGGTTCCCATAAAACTTTGGATTTTTCCGCTGATGATCCTCTTTAAATTGAACTTGGTCAGCACTGAAAACTTGTGATCTCACTGAAGGATCATTTAATTGGGCTCTGTGTCAATGAAACAGCTGTTAAAAAATTACAGTGTTCAGTGTTGACTTCTGTAGAGATCTTAGAAAGCAGGGCTGGCAGAGATCTGGAGCAGTCATCGTGTTCTCCTCTGCCCCTACTCCCAAACCAAAACAAATTACCAGGTACATTCCTGACAGATCTTTTTCTAATGGGCTCTAAAAATCCCATGTGATAGAGGCTCCACAACCTCCCCAGGCAAGTGCATCTATTGCTTTGCTATCCCTACAGTTCAGAATGATTTCTAATGTCTAACCTAGCTCTCCCTTGCTGCCAAAAATCACAGTAATTTAATTTACTAATGGATACGGTTGGTAAGTGTATACTTATTATTCTGTGATTACTCTTTGTCTGGCATGAACTTTACTCTGAGGTGACATTAGGATCAGATAAGTGAACTGTGGGATGTTTCTTTTCACACAGATGAAATAAGGGAAGGACATTTGTTAACATTTGTTAAGCAACCGGAGCTGCTCCCTCTTCTGATAGTCCTTCCACTGCGCTGGAGCTGTCATTTTGAAGTTGTATCTGAACTGCTGTAAACATTGTCACAACTAAAATTTTACAGCTGCGGTGAGTGGTGCTTGCTGTCAACAGTTTTCAGTGGAGAGAGCTGATCTCCTACCTTGTTAAAATAAACTCTTCAAGAATCCAAGAAAAGACACTCATAAAATATCCTACTCTGTGTATCTTTCTCTTTGAAGGCTGCAGTCTGTAGTGTCTTCTCATTTCTTCTGGTCTAACTCCAGTGTAGTTAATGGAGTCTCCTCAACACGGTAGCTGACAGCACAGCACAGTGCTGTTTTCAACCCCCCTCCTCTGATTTGTTCAGTGCCAGCTAACAAACGCTAGCACTGGAATAATTCAGCAGCTGCTAAATGGCTGCCAAAGCTTGTTGTTCTGGCTCTGAAACTAAGAAGGTTTCAGCTGTGAACATGTCTCTATTGCTCATCTGTGCAGCAGACTGGCTACATCTCTACTAGTAAATGAGATGGGGCCAAGGTGCAGGTCTGAGTCTTGCTGAACTGGTACCGTGCTCCCGAGCACAGCTTTGACCTGTGCAGACTCGCATGGATTAGCAGTTCTCAGGGTGCAGGGGTTAGCCCATAGGAGGGACTCTGGGCACTTTGGACATGACCACCTTGTTTTAGAGGTGAAAGAGAGTGCAGCTGTGAGGATGCAAGCTGTTCTGTGCCAGTTCTCCACAGGACCCAGGAATCACAGAATCATAGAACGGTTTGGGTTGGAAGGACCTTAAAGCCCATCCAGTTCCACCCCCCCTGCCATGGGCAGGGACACCTTCCACCAGACCAGGTTGCTCAAAGCCCCATCCAACCTGGCCTTGAACACTTCCCGGGATGGGTCATCCACAGCTTCTCTGGGCAACCTGTTTCAGTGCCTCTCTACCCTCTCCGGGAAGAATTTCTTCCTCATATCTCATCTAAATCTTCCCTCTTTCAGTTTAAAACTGTTGCCCCTTGTCCTGTCACTCCGTGCCCTTGTAAAAAGTCCCTCCCCAGCTTTCTTGTAGGTCCCTTTAGGTACTGGAAGGCTGCTCTAAGGTCTGCCCGGAGCCTTCTCTTCTCCAGGCTGAACAACCTCAACTCTCTCAGCCTATCTTCACAGGAGAGGTGCTCCAGCCCTTGGATTGTCTTTGTAGAAGAATTGTTCTTGGGTTGTTGTATTCAACCCTACCGCACTTCTTAAGGGGACAGTTTAGAAGCTGAAGCTCACAAGTGAGTCGCCTCCCTGCTCAAGGTGATGTGCAGCAAGGAGTACGACCAGCTCAGGTGTGCAGGGGCAGCGGCAAGAGAGAGAACTTACACCAGTGCAAGTGGCAGGAAAGCAGCTCCAGGGCAGAGACAGTGCTGCAAGGAGGTGGTGGTGAGGCGAGAGAAGACATGAGCTTCAGGAGAAAGTGGTAGCAGTGAGATCACCACAGAAAAGGCTGGGAGCGATTGATCTAGGTGCCAGTCTCTTTGAACAACAGTCCTCTTTTAACTACAGGAAATCTTCTGCATCTTGGCTGCTGGTGATCTTAGGCTTATGTGAGATTCTCTGAGTCTCATCCTCTGGAGCTAAAGAATCCACCCATGAAATTACTCACCAGTGCATTTTTTTATAATCCACAAGCCAGTATTGTGTTCATACAAATGTCCATCTTTTGGGGGCTCACTTTCTATCTCTGCAGTCTCTCTTGCTGGGTCAATCACTGTGTGACCAGATCCATTAACTTTTATTCAGAATGAATGAGTTGTGTCAGAGATGGGAGGGCCTCACCCTTTCTTTCATGGCCTGGTGGATCCCTAGACCTCTGTTACTGGAGAGCAGCTTTAAGCTCTGGTCTACGATTCAGGGGTTTCATTGCCTCTGTTGTGTCCTTAGGCTGCCCAGCCACATCCTAGTCTATACTGACCAATACTACACAGGTAATGCATAGCTTTTATTGCTGCTACCAGTATCACCAGCAGATTTCTTCTCAGGTCTGCTGAGCAGCAGGTGCCATTTATAAAAAAGCAGCAAATATTTCCTCTCTTTGTGCAACATGCCACTGCAGAGAAGGGGTAGGCCACCTCGCCTAAAGGAGATAGAGACAGTGGTTAAGCTCCGCTTCCTCCTTCATTGCTTTGTCTCAAAGAGCTGGTGAGAAGTCTGAATGGTTTGTTGTCAGCAGAAGTTGCAGTTTCAGAAAAATATAGAACCTGCCTAAACTGTACCCTATTATTTTTATTATGAGAGCATTCATGTGTAGATATTGCAAATTCTAGTGTGCACCATTGCTGTCGACAGCAGGAGCCTAAATGACCTTTTGACTTAGGCTAACTGATTGCTTTCGTCAAGCCCAGGTAGGACTAAGATGTGGTAGCCCTCCAGTTGGAAGACCACCTGATGATCTCACTGTTGGCTGTGTGTTTGGTGTTTGTGAATGGTTATAGGTGTGGGGAACAGATGGATCTCACCAGAGGGTAGATCTTCAAAGGTAATAAACTCTGCAAAGATGGGCTGATGTGTGAGAAATCGCAGTGTGGATGTGGTACCTGGAATTAAACTGTCAGACAGATAGATTGTTTGCTAGCACCTGAAGTTGCAGGCTCTGGGCACAGCCAGGTTTCCACCAAGATCTGTTGCAGCTAAAGGAACCAGGAGAAAACCTAGTGCAGGAAAGGCAGTGGCAGGACCGTATTTGTCTTCAGTTAAACAAAGATTATCAACACTTGGGCATGCACAGAAGGAAGGATCCACCCCTGGCTCTCGGGGGAGAATAGCAGGTAGGAGAAAAGGACTCCACTGAGTGGAGACAACGCAGGTCAGTTATGGGGGCAGACAGGTCCCAATGCACTCAGTCACTCACTTTTGTGCCTCTGGTCTCACTTTCTTCAGAGTGATTGAGCCCTGGAGGGTGACATCTGTTACCAAAAGAACGAGGAGAACAAGGGCCTCTGGGGAATTTTTAGCCACAAACAAGAAAATCTCAGAATTCCTCACCACCACAGAGGCTTTAGCCCTCTGGGCAGCCACAGTGCAGTCAGTGGAAAGATTGAGTGAGTTGGCAAAAACTGTACAGCAGAGCAGAAATTAAGAGTACCCTGGTCAGAACTGGGAAGGAGTTCAAGGCTTGAAAATGCCTCTTGCTGACTCACTCAGGGCGAGTCAAAGACTTTCCCTGGCAAGTGCTGTTCACACATCCAGATTCTCAGCTTTCACTTAGGGAAATTGAGTTCCCACAGGGCTGAAGAAAGCCGCCTCCTTAGCGGTGGTACCCACAGTGAGGTGCCAGCCTCCCAGCGCTGCACGGCATGGCTGTGGCACGGCTGTCCCTTGCTCAGCACCTCTGCTGGGTGCAAAGAGATCACCAGTTCCTCATTTTCTAAGGCTGCTGGTCAGAGCTGGCTGAGAAGCACCAGACCTGGCAAACATCGTACCAGTTTCATGGAGCAGTGGAGGAAAACTCCAGAAGCAGCAGCAGCAGCTCACAGCCTGGAGCTGCTCACAGGAGCATGGGATGGGAGGGATACAGCTGACCAAAACCACATCTGCAGTGGTGGTACTGGTCTTGTCCCAGTATAGAGCAGATGAAAAGAGCAATAAAAGAGCGTATTTCTCTCCCCTAGCTATGAAGAGGTCCATGGGAGACTGGACAATGCGTCTCAGATATGAATACCTGTATTGCCTGTATGAGTCCTACCTGGAGAGTGTAGGAAATCTTAAAAGCTAAAGAAGTGGTAAAGAAGCAGAAATACCTTTTTTTTACCAAACGACTTAAGAGGGTGGCAACAAAATCTTCATCCCACGGACAGGGGCATATCAGAGGCAGAAGGAAAGGAAGCAGTCTCGAGAGCACCATTCCTGTGCTGGCCAGAAACTAATTAGACATTCATTGGGCCAGAGAAGGGTCTACGTATAGTCTTTTTAACAGGGATCCCAGTGCCTGTGCTTCCAGGAAGGTAAGAAAATCACGTCTGCAGTGAACCCTCTGTCATCAGTTCAATCTTTTGTATGTTTTTAGGGCTGAGTTCTTCAGTTCACGGGTGACTGGCAAATTCCCAAATGGTGTATGCCAGTGGGTGGGCAGGAGCGTGGTTTAACCCTGCCCCAGCTCCAGCATAGTGCTCCAGCAAGCAAGGAGCTGTAAACCTGGCATTGGTACCAGGCACTGGTCGTCATCCTCCCAGGTCTGAGCAATCGCTATGCACTGAGGGTGCACTCCAAGGAGGGTGTTCCAGCAGCCTCTTCTCACGTACGTGTGTTGCATTATCTATATATTATTTGCTTTATAGGAATTATTCCACTCTTTCATTATGCTGGATAAATGAGAGTTCATTGTAATTAAAAGGTATTAGCTAACCTACCTAAAAAGAATTTGCCTTACCTAGACAGAGCTTTTTGGACCTAAACGATGTGTTAAAACATGTTCAAACCATATATTCCTATCAGCATTTATAACCAAAAGCGCACATGGCTATTTGTTTCCGTAAGCTAGTAAGGGTAGACTGAAAGATCACATTCTGTTGGGTTTTAGGCCAGAGGAACTCTGGACACTGGGTCAGTCAATACAACCCTGCTGAATTGTTCGCCGTGTTGGGACAATTCATCCTTGCACAGTAACTCAAATTGCCTCCTTATCTTCTCTGGTGGGTTTTAGATCTGCACGACAGCAACTGGGGATTCATTCTCTCTACCTGTGTTTAAGGCGTTAACTAAGATAATCAGGCACTATGTGAGCTAGTAACTAATAGAGAAATCGTGGAGTACGTGAATTGTCCATGGTAGGTGCTGTTCTCCCCCCAGGGACTACAGGGGACCCAGTTAAAGTCTTAAGTTGAACTCCCATATGCAGAACTATTTAGCAAGCCTCTTTGTTTTCCAGCCAAGGGGCTGCATCTTCACAGGTAACTCATTAGTCGGATTTTCTAAAGTGTTTTGACTCCCATTCTGCTCTGGCTTCTGATAAGACAGAATCCAAAATAATTTGGGTCAGCTTTAGGTTTCTCAATGCAACAATGTTGTTAACAGCACTGATAGTGTGAGAAGTACGTGAAGAGAGTTTGTGAAGAGAGACGCTATTTTCTACTAGACCAATTTTTATATGGATGAATTTGGATTTCAGTTTTTTGCCCAGCGTTTCTCGTGTCTTAACTACAAACCATTGACATTTGCCTCCTCATGCTAGATCTTTTCTAACTATATTGCAAGAGCTAAATTAATATTGCTGCAATATTTGAATTGCCATTTACATTTCCTTTTAAAGATCCCACTGGCTGGCTGGCAGCGTTTTCAAGTACCTGAAAACCCTTTTAAATCTGGTGTCTGGCTTCAGGTCTGTGCTTCCTTTTGCCCATGTGTAAAACACTGGTAGTAAAATATGCAGTGTATTGTGGAGCACTATTATTATTAAACTTGGCTGTGGTTTTGGCAAATCCTAGTGATAATATTTAGCAAACTCCTGACATGTTCAGTCTTTCAGGCAGGAAGGAATGGGTAATTTTGAGGGAGAAATGTGCCACTTGCGTTTCTGTAAGAGGGCTGTGTGTGCATGCCGTACCTGTGAATTTTATGGTACCTTGCTCAAGTCGGGAATGAGTCCATCTTTTGCGTATGGAATTGCTGGAGCTGGCTGCAAATCTGGAAAAAAAAGGTCCAAGCTTTTGATTCTTGTTTTTGGACTGGTTTGTTGCCCTTCAATGACTTGTATGTAGACAGCAATATTTGGGCAGCATGGAATGTGCCTGTTTTTAACTTACAAAGAGATATACTTTCAAGAGTGCAATTTTAACCAGATTTTTTCTGTTCTCATTTTCAGTCCTACCTCCTGTACTTGTTCCAAGACACAGTGAGTTTAACCCTCACCTCAGCCTCCTCGCCAAGTTTCGAAACACTTCTCTGCACAGTGAGCCGCTGATGCCGCACAATGCCACCTATCCTGATTCTTTCCAGCATCCTCCATGCACCCCTTTTCCATCATCACCCAGCCACATGTTCTCCCAGTCACCTAACAGCATCAGCTACCCCAACTCACCGGGAAGCTCTTCTGGACCGGGAAGTCCTTATCAGCTCACAGGTAAGAATGAGCTTTCAGACACCTTGACTGAGGCAATCGAGTTTCTTGCCAGGGCCTGGGATCAGGTGCCAGTTCTGTGTGCTCCCCCCAGGCTGTAGCTACAGATTGAACTGTTGGACAGGATGGATTTGGAACATGATTGCTTGTCACTGTGTCTTAGATTTGTCTCCCAGTCCTTCTGATGGATGCTCAAGGGACTAAGAATTGTAGTCATCCCACTCCTAGAAGTGCCTGGATGAGATTTCAAGCTTGTGATATAGTCCACGAAAAAGAACACTTGCAACACCTAAATTAGGCACCTCTAGTAGAGTTTAGAAACTCCATCAAGAGAGACAGGATAAAATGGGGAAGTTGGTACACAGAAATATATTTTAATGTATGATGATTGCACTGGCTGTATAAACTTCAGGAAATTAAGGTGTTTAACAATCTGGCCCAACACTTCGTGAAGCTACCAGGCAAATCCCTATGACTTTGGAACGTGTTTTATGAGCTTCACGGTTCTGAGGTCAGCAGGGTTATGTCACTCAGATTGTTTGCATTGTGAACTCCTTACTTAGTCCTGCTCTGATTACCTGAGAGTTTAACTATGCTTTTGCTGTTAAATATCCCAAGAAGGTGTCATGCAACACAGCTGAGAGCTAGCTTTAATATCAAAACATGGTTCAGATTCACTTCTGCACTTCGTTGTAACTCTCAAATAGTTTTTCACAAAGATGAATGCAGGTCAGAATCTTGTAGCTTAACTAGCTACAAAGCATTTAAATTTATGTCCTTAATGATATGCCTATTTTCATTTTAAGTGCAAGAGAGGTGTTTATTTTTACAAGGTGTTTGTAGTATTTGAACTTCTTTTAAGCTGGACACTTTCAACACAGTGTGATATATTTCATTCCCACTGCATTCATTGAATGGACCTTCATTCATTTCTTCTCTAGATCTGTACTTCAGATTAAATCGTATTTAGCAACATCGAAACATTTCAGCAAGTAGTAAGACTTGTTTGTCTTCTCCAATCTTTTTCTTTCACCTCTGTGTAACCAAGCTGGATTCAGTGGAGCTGGTCCTGACAGGTAAATTGGACTCAGTCCAGCTAGGTAATGGCTCTGACTCGTGCATTTAGCTGAACTTGGGACCTTGCAAAGCTACTTAAAAATGGAAGTGGCTCAACCTGAGCTTCAGTATATCACAGTATATGGCATGCTGATAAGCATAATTTGCCTGTGGAAGAATCAGGGGTGGAAGACTACCTAAAGCAAACTGGAGTTACATCAAGAACCTTGAGTGGGATTGGTGTGACCAAATATAGATGTCATCAATGCAAATTCTACATCTCATGCAATTGTCTATGCTCTCTCTGTAATCAGTGGAGAAAAACAGGCACTCCTAGAACAAGATTCATTGCATCTGAAGGTATATGTCTAAAGTAGCTGAGATGCACCGTGTCTGCAGATGCCTATTTTTCTTTAGTGGGTATGAGGACAGTTTATGGTGACAAGCTTAGGTGTAGACATCAAAAATATCTGTATAACCACGTTCTGTTCCTTTCTGTGACTTGTATTGTCTTCCACTCTTTTTTGATTTTGTTTTACTATTCTAGCTTGTTGCATTTTCTGTAGGAGGGTTATGTCATGTACATATGTACATTAGAAATATCATACAGTATATGAAATTCCTAAATCCTGAACTATGCTTAAATAGAATAACAATGCTGTGCAGTACTTATTTCGTTATCTTATGAGACAGTCCACATTTATCCACTCTGGATGAAGTTGCTCTGTTTTGAGAGCCAGCCAACAAATCCCGAACACAAAAGAAAATTTCAACCTGGAACCAAGTTAAACCCTGGTCTTCTTAAAGAGACCCTTAGTCCTGCAAGCTTGTGTATGACTATAATTTATACATAAACCCAGTAAGTTTCTGTTGAAAAGAATAAAACTAGATGCTTTTCGTGCTTATGCAGTGAATGTCAACATTTTCTAATACAAAAATGAAATCCCTTTTTCTTTGGCTTTTTAAAGCCTCCCTGTCTTTCTTGAGAATCCCCACTATAGAGTCACCTTCTGTTTTCTAGCTTACTCTGCCATAAATGAAACCAATCAGGAGCTGGGCAGGTTGTGAGCTGATAACTTTTTCTCCATATTTTTTCATCACAACCGTTGCTCTTTGATGGGAGACTGAACACACCAGAAGAGGGCCAGCCTTCCCTTGTAGGACAGAGGTAAAAAGGACAAATCTGGAGGGAGTTTTGCCAAGTCTGATTTTAGAGTGTAAAGGCTTTCCATAGGCTTTTCATAGCCTGTGCAGAAAGAGAGCTTTCTCCCAGAGGATCGATCAAAGTGAGCTGCTTTTAAATCGTCCTCTTCAGGTGTTAAATTTGTGAGAGGAGTCTGGAACTGAAGGATCAAACTGCGTTACTTTCTTAGGGTAACAGCTGGTGTTAACAGAGAGCTTGACTGAGCGCTGGTCTAGGCCTGAGGCACTGTTGTGACTGTCCCTCTCTCTTTCAAGTGCAGCATGTCCAACATGACAGCCCTTCCTTCCCATCCTCCCTGAACATCTAATGGTCTTAATCTGGAGACTGAAAGGAGGCCAGGTTCAGATTTGTGCTCTGTTTCCAACCCTGCTCTAGCTAACCAATGCTGAAGAAGCTAAGTATTCACTGGGAAGAGCTGGGGAGAATTTACCAATGTATTGATTTAGGTGTCTTTTCTTTCTTTTCTTTCTTTCGTTCTTTCTAATAGTGGAAACTCCACCCCCACCTTACCATGCAAGAGAACCTCCAGGAACCCACAATGGGAGGTCAATGGATGCAATAGCTGAAAGTCAACTAGTGCTGTCTTTGCCCAATGGAGGTAAATCTGCCGATGGAGAAGCTGAAAGTAAATAACTATTTGTACTATTCTTCAAAGAAAAACTGTTAAGCAAAAAAATTGTTACTTGAACAAGAAGGTTCGGTGATGGGTAATGATAGGTGTCAGACAGTTTTGCAGTAAGGCTGTGTACTAGACCCATCCATTAGCTAGTAGAATAGGTTGATTTAAGAATTCGGTGAATTATGTGCTAAGTTAGAGAGTTTAGACCTTATTTGCATCCATGGATCATTACAGTTAGAAAGCTGTTAATGAAAGCAAACACTGTTATCTACGTTGTAAACACAAAGATATCAAATCAAGGATGGTGAGGCAATATAACACACAAGAGCACTATCAGTATCAGAACTGGTTTCTTTATCACCTTCAGTTCTGGGTTTCCAGTACTTTAAAGCCATGTGGCTGGGACCTTTCTTACTGCTATCTTTGTATTAACGTTACATTGCTGGCTGGCAAGGAAAAAAAAGGACATGTTCTAGTGAAGTACAAAGAGATTTTTGTACAAGAAGCCAAACTCTTTGTCCTCATATAAGAATGCTTTAGTGGAAGAGGGCATGGATGGTCAGAGTAGAAGGGTCTGGGATCCTCCTTGCTCCCCTCAAAGCAACTTCATGACCTCTCCAGCATGAACACTGCTACCTCCAGACTGGTAGTGGCAGTGATGCCTCCACCATTCAAAGCCCATTGCTTCACAGCAGCAAGGAGAAATGGAGTTCCTCTGCTGGGTTTTCTTGTGGCTTCCTGCTACTGCAAAGGAAAAATCACCATTGTTCTTTTAGTCCAGCATATTGTAGTCCTAAACAAATGTCCTTTATGGCATGAGGACTCAACACTATCCACACACATGCACATTAAAAAAAATGACGCCAGCCTTCTGAAACAGTGAGGGACATGTATGTGTCACAGAACTGGAGCAGATGAGGGTGATAGTGCTAATTACAGATAGGTACACAGAATGACCAGATAATAACTAGTTATCAGACACCAATACTTCTAAATAAATTGTTGAGATACTTTAGTCTCTTTACCATAGTTTACCATCCCTGATCACTGCCTTAGTGAATATTAGTTGGAAGTTTATTAGAGGTGATGCACAGAGGTGCTCTGGGGACAGAGGGGCTCACAAGCCTGTGGTGGGCAGGCTGGGTAAGGTTTGCCACTAATTCCTGTAAGATGAATGAAGCTCAGAGATTCTGTTACATTTTTAAGTCTTTCTCTGTCTCTGAGTTAGAAAACCTGGGCAGGGGTAGATCATTTCAAGAGAAATGACCTTGCTAAGATATCTGCTTACGGTCCCACATAGAAGCGGAAAGCCCCAAATAATGCAAAAAATTGGGGGGAGTGATTGGTTACTTCTGAACTTCAGAGTTTGGTATTAGGCTGAATGCTTGGCTTAATTTTGACTTGCTTTGAACCCATCTGTCATCCCTAGCTCCTGCTGGTGTGCAGAGCAGATGTATCCCTTACTATTTCCAGTGTAGAGGTTGGGCCCTAGTTCAGCAAGGAGTGTCAGCATGTGCTTAATATAATGCAGGGGAGTTACCACTTTTAAGAACAAGTGGGCCTCCTCAGAGGCTTAGAGTTAAGCTGGTGTACCAGCCCTTTGCATGTTTGGGGCTTCAGTCGTAAAATTAAGAAGCAGCAGAAACTGCTGTTGAGGTGAAGTGTGACATAAGTGACCATTCAGATGAAGAGCTGGGGCAGGAAGGAGTGGGAGGGTGGGATGGAGGGAGGAAAGAAAATGAGAATGATTATTTAAAAAATTTTACTGAGACCCAAGGAGCTGATTAATTTTATTTCCTACAGACTTTCGGCCTGTTTGCTATGAGGAACCCCAACATTGGTGCTCAGTTGCCTACTACGAACTCAACAACCGGGTAGGGGAGACTTTCCAGGCTTCCTCTCGAAGTATCCTTATAGACGGATTTACAGATCCCTCAAATAACAAAAACAGGTTCTGCCTGGGACTGCTCTCAAACGTAAACCGCAACTCTACTATAGAAAACACCAGGAGACACATAGGAAAAGGTAAGAGGAAATCCCTCCTCAGGAATATTCAGAGCTTGAAAGAACTGTGCATTGCATGAAGGAACCTAGGTTGGATGGGCTTGTCTTAAAACCAAAGCTCTGAGATTACTTCTGAAATAGCAGAAAAGCAGCTGATTCTTTTCTGACTGGATAACAGTCAGCAGAGTAGCTCCTTACAAAAGCTATTTACTTGGCCAGCAAAGAGAAAAATGTTGTTTATAGTTGTGTGTTCTAATTTAGCAGTATGTATTTTCATGTTATTTATTAGAGCTTCTGGCAACTGGGAATATTGCCATTGAAATGCCACTAAAGGGTAATTGCTGGTGCCTCAGGGCTGGTTCTCCTCCCACCAAATAACAAAGGGAGGTGGATGAAACACTTAGTAGTTGAGTTACTTAGCTGAAGAACTCTACCAGAGTTGCCTTTGCAGCTTTTTCCCCCCTACCAGTCTGATTCCTTGCCTTGTCAACTTCTCACCAGTAAAACTAAGTCTTGGATTCTCCCTCCAGCAGTTCTCCTTGTATGCCTCCCTTCTGGTGTACATACACCCTGTGCCTGCAGGATCATATGCTATTGGTGACAAGTACGAGGGGACCACACCTGGACATGCCCTCACTCCATCCCAGCTCACTAGGGCTGTGTAGGGCCTGGTATTCTCCCAGAACTTACTGTTGTTAGTGGCGGTGAGTCAAAAGCCCTGTACTGGCCACTTCTCTGTGCAGATGAAGCTTTGCCTGTTCTGGTATATCCAGTCTAGACTCATTACCTTGCCAACCCAGCCTCTCACCAGTAGCTGCCTGGGAATGGATTTCCCACTGGGCTAATTAACTCTTAATTGTTCCACTCCTATTATCTTGTCAACCTCACCTCATTTCCCAAGCCTAGAGCAGTATTTTAATTGGCTCTTGATAGTCTAGTGTTGAATGACTGAATAGGAGGAAGCTTGGAGACAAATGTGACATAGTTTTTACAAACAACAGTGAACCTGAAGGCTAGCGCAGGAGATGTTGTACTTGGCTCTTGCACTTTTCCCTGGAAGGGAAAGCGCTTGTGTTGCAGATGCACTGTGTGAAGCCAGTGTGATGCTACAAGCATCTGTCATAGTACTTTGTTATGAGGGGTGGAAATGAGTTGTACATCTGGTTCTAACTTACTCAGAAAATAAAGCAAAGCTTCTCTATCAGCATAAGCTGTCAGAGGGCTGTAGATCAAAGCTGAGCCCAGCCCTAAAAGAATGACAAGAGATCCCAGACAAAGCTGTCATTTGAGGATGTTACACCCTGTGACTTTCTGCCCAAAAAGAGGAAGAGACAGAACAGAAAGAAAATGAGGTAAATGGTAATGGTCCTCATCCGTTCAAATCTGAAGATCTGTCTTCATTGCTTAAAAGTCCTTTAAAGTCTTACACTAGGAATCTGCCCAAGGGTAGGGAGCAGGTTGCCCAGAGAGGAGCTTCGTATATCAGAGATCCTTAATTTTACTGCTCTTCCCTGTTTATGCAAATCTTAAAAAACTATGTTCAAGTGGAGTAGAAGTGGCACCAGCACAGGCCTGCAGAAGAGGACAGAGCAGCTCCAAAAGTGTGTAGTTCAGAGCCATGCTGGACAGATGAAAGCTACTGAAATGGATACAATTGTCACATGTTAACAGGGGAGAAAAAAGAGTGAGTAAACAAGATTAGCTCAGTAGGATAAGGATATGTGATTGAATTGTCATGTAGTGTATCAGCGTGAAATGGTTTCCTGGAAATACCACATCAAAGCTAAAAACAATCCAGAGCACAATGCAACATCTACCGGCAATTGGACCCGTTTCAGCAGTCAGACTTCAAGGACAAAAAGGGAACTTCTGATCAGGGTGTCAAAAGGATGTGGATGCTGGGAGACTGCTGAATTTCCAGTGTCTGCAGAGAGCAATGAAATCCCACTAAAACATATGGACCCTTGCTTTGGTCTTCTGCAAATACATATTCAGCTGCTTGGCTTCCTTGAGGGTGCTTGTCTCTGGTGAATGAATACCACAAGAGTGGAAATACACACTGACATTTCATTACTGCTGTATTTATTGCTTTTAAAAAGTCCACAGGGAAAAGCAAATTGTAGCCTCTGCTTTCAGAAGTGACTTTGGTGTTTTTGTTATTATAGTACACAGTTTGGGCAATGTCTTTGAAAGCATTAATTTTTTTTCAGAAGTTGTGTTACTCAGTATACTCCGAAAATCCATCTTTTAAAATTTTTCACCTTAGCACCCAGAAGCGTGACCACCCTAAATCAGTAGCCACCCCTAAAGATTTGAAATGTGGTGAACATTTAGGTCCTTACTCTTGTCTCCCTACCCTGTGTTCTCACTCTGTTTATTTCAGAAAGTCATATGAACTCCCTCGAGGTCAGCTGGGACCTCCGTGTTTTCAGTCCTTCACTTTTATCTATCTTCCGTAGAAGGGAAAGGAGACACGGGTCAGGTAATAGCAGTCACAGTGTGCAACACCCCATAATGTCTGTTGCGGTTGGACTGGAGCTGACGACCGGTCTAACGGAGCTGTCGTCTCACCCGTGTTCCCAGTGCAATACCAGTATGTGCTCTGAGCCACACCCCCTGCCACTCACAGCTAATTTGAGATCTCGTGGGTGCAGAGAAGTAAAAGTCAAGTGATGGCTTGAAGACAGATGTTAAGGTTCGCGTCTGAGTCACCCTGGAAGTCTATGGGAGAGTATATTTTTCCCAGATTCCTTTCCCACTCAACCTGCTTTTCCCCAAGCCTTTCCCACTTCTGTTTAGAGACTGGTTTTGTCCTAAGGATGTGCTGCTGCCCCTTGCTGTCGTGACCACAGAATGATGAGTAGGACGGGAATATGTAACCAGTCTTCTTTGTATGAAAGACAACAGGAATAAAACTAATTACAGCTGAATTATTAAAGCATAGTTATCACTAGCTTTGCAGGCAGTCCACTGAGACTCTCTGAACATGTGCATTTGTATGGAAGGGTTTGAATGCATACCTGGGAATGGAGAGGAGGATTTTATTTTTATTTAGTGGTGGTTTTTATGAGAACAAAGAACTGAATTCTTGCAAAAAAACCCGCTCTCCGCGTTGGGAGGGGTTCATCTCACCTGATCTAGCCATGGGAAGGTTGAATGCCAAGGCATCTTCACAGGATGACTTGACCTCGTTCAGGGTGTGGTTTTATGCTCACATTTAAGCAGTTTCGGTCCCCATTGCCACACTTGCACTGATGAAGATCTCACTGCAAATAAATCTTGTTTATTGTTTGGTTTTAAGTTTATTGGCTGGGTCAATTTCCCAGCCCGGGCG